TGAACCGCAGGCCGGAAGGTCGGTAGTTCAGCAGTTCGAGACCTGAGTGCCGCATGACGGAGTGAGCTCCCGTCTCTGGCCCCAGCTCCTGCCAACCTAGCAGTTCGAAAGCAAGAAATTGCAAGTAGATAAACAGGTACCGCTTCGGTGGGAAGGTAACAGCGTTCCGTGCGCCTCGGCGTCTAGTCATTCCGGCCACATGACCACGGAAACATCTTTGGACAGCGCTGGCTCTTCGGCTTGGAAACGGAGATGAGCGCCGCACTCCTAGAGTCGGATTCGACGGGCTTTCGAGCAGGTGAAACCTTTACCTTACTACCGCTGCATCCCCTGGCAGCAAATTCCACATGTAAAGTATTTCTTTGTGTCAATCCTACACCTACTGCCCATCAGCTTCACTGGATGCCCTTTTCTGGAACTTTGGGAGAGGGAGGAATTTTTTTTTATCAGCTCTTTCCACTCTACGCATAATTTTCTACACCTCTCTCATGTCGTCTCTTTTCTAAACGGAAAAGCCCCAGAATCTTCAGCCTTTGCTCACAGGGAAGGGGTTTCAACCCCCAACGCATCCCGGTTTCCTCCTCCTGTACTGAATAAGCTTCGGGGCTGAATAGGGACACAGGATTCTTATCTCACTTGAAGCGGCCTTCTACTGAGTCAGGCCACTAAGTCCATCAAGGTTAGCACTCTTCACACAGACTGGCAGCAGCTCTCCAGGGTCTCCGGCTGAGGTCTTTCACACATCACCAACAGCCTGGTCCTTTTAACTGGAGATGCTGGGGACATAACCAGTGCTCCCTGCAAGCTGTGGAGTCTTGTGAGCAAAAATCCTAACTTTGTGAGCTGCCGGCATTAAAGCGGTGAGCGAGCAATTGGGCTGCTGCATAAATTAGTTTGCCCTGGAGCCCTCCTTCCTGAGCTGAGACAAAAATGTGTGCGCTGGAGGCTAAAAAAACTGAGCTGGCTCACACTGACTCAGCTTGGAGGGAACACTGGACATAACCTGGGACTTCAGGCATGCAAAGCAGAGGCTTTTCCACTGAGCCACAGCCCTTCCCCCTTACTACAGGCATTTACAGATGTTAGTTTTCTGCCCCCAAGCATTTCCCCTCTGCTCTGATCAAGCCGAAGGGCATTGGATGGACCTTTGGATATTTTACAAGCATTCTTTACAATACCCCTCCTGCCTTCCGACTTAAGATGGAAGAATCCAGGAGCCAGTTTGGTGTCGTGGTTAAGTGTGCAGACTCTAATCTGAGAGAACCGGTTTTGATTCCCCCACTCCTCCACTCGCAGCTTCTGGATGACCTTGGGCACGTCGCTGTTCTCTCAAGAGCAGTCCTCAAGAGCTCCCTCAGCCCTACCTCCCTCACAGGGTGTCTGTTGTGGGGAGGGGAAGGGAGAGGAGTACGCGTGAGCGTCTGAGTGAAGGGCGGGGTATACATCCAATCTCTTCTTCTAGGGCAGCACTCTCTTTCCAACAACATGCAAAGAGCAATAGCAGCCATTTGTCCCGCTTATCTGATTTTCAAAACACAAGAGCTTTAATACAGAGGTTGGCTTTGGCTTATGAAATTGACAGCCCTGCTCTCTGCGCTGCATGCATGCACCTCCCTGACCTAGCTGGCCCAGGCCAGCCTGGAAGCTAAGCGGGGTCAGGCCTGGCTAGTAAGAACGTAAGAGATGCCATGTTGGATCAGGCCAGTGGCCCATCCGGTCCAACACTCTATGTCACACAGTGGCCAAAACCCAGGGGCCATCAGGAGGTCCACCAGCGGGGCCAGAACACCAGAAGCCCTTCCCACTGTTGCCCCCCCCAAGCACCAAGACAGAGCATCCCTGCCCCAGACATAAGAACGTAAGAGAAGCCATGTCGGTTCAGGCCAAGGAAAATTTTATTTTTCCTTTCCCTGACCAACATTTGTCAATTTCTCTGACCACCATTCAAATATAACCACAAGTTAAAAAATGAATAGGCCAATGCGCCCTCGAAGCTGTGGAGTCTTGTGAGCAAAAATCCTACTTTGTGAGCTGCTGGCATTAAAGTTGCGAGCAAGCAATTTGGCTACTGCATAAATTAGTTTGCTCTGGAGCCATCCTTCCTGAGCTGAGACAAAAATATGTGAGCTGGAGGCTAAAAAACTGTGAGCCAGCTCACATTAACTCTGATTAGAGGGGACACTGGTCGTATTGCATTAATGCAAGGTAAGATTCCACTGGGAAAGGGCATCATTAAAGTTCTACTTGTATCCTGCCACTTCTCTATTCCAGTTGCCACAAGAACAGATCAGGCTCTTGCAGCAGCTGGTCAAAAATCCACTGCTTGAATATATTTTAATCACAATTTCCCTGACTTCAGACCAATTTCCCTGACTTTCCCGAAAGTGGCAACCCTGCTTGGGCAAGCCATAGTTCTGATAAGAGCTGTCCTTGAAAAAAGAGCCGTTTCTGCCAGAGCTCTCTCAGTACCACCTACATCTCAGGGTGTCTGTTGTGGGGAGAGGGAGGGAAAGGAGTTTGGATGCCGCTCTGAGACTCCTCTGGGTAGTGAAGAGCGGGGGTTATAAACCCAAGCTCCTCCTCCTCTTTAGTGTATACATGTGAAATCAGAACTGATCTGGCCCACTGTGCGTCATTTCATCTCCACTTCCATTAAAGTCATCTGCATTTTTGTTACCCATTTTTGGAACACTGTCCCGGGGCTCTTCCACCACTCTTCCTCCCACTGTGGGGCCTCCAAGCACTCAGAATACAGGGTATCACTGCCCCAAAATATAGCCTTCCATATTTACCTTGTGGCCAATAGCCACTCATGGACCTCTGCTCTACTTGAAGGGGAGGCCACTGAGGAAGTCCAGTGTTGCTATGCAGAGGCAGGCAATGGCAGAACCACCCCATTCGGTTGCCTTGAAAATACTGGGGGAGGGCCTTCCATCTTTACCTTGTGGCCAATAGCCACTCATGGACCTCTGCTCTACTTGAAGGGGAGGCCACCGAGGAAGTCCAGGGCTTCTATGCAGAGGCAGGCAATGGCAGAACCACCCCATTCGGTTGCCTTGAAAATACTGGGGGAGGGGATGCCATAAATCAGCTGTGCACAAATGCACTTTCCGCCTCACTTAGCCAATTTTATTATGCATTACATAAAGAAATCCTTTCCTACTGCCTTGGTTTTCATCAAGTTTCTTCCTCAGATCCTGTCAGTTTGGTGTGGTGAAATGCACGGACTCTAATCTGGGAGAACCGGGTTTGATTCCCCCACTCCTCCACTTGCACCTGCTGGTGTGCCCTTGGCGGGGTTGCCACTAAAATTTTATTTTTCCTTTCCCTGACCAACATTTGTCAATTTCTCTGACCACCATTCAAATATAACCACAAGTTAAAAAATGAATAGGCCAATGCGCCCTCGAAGCTGTGGAGTCTTGTGAGCAAAAATCCTACTTTGTGAGCTGCTGGCATTAAAGTTGCGAGCAAGCAATTTGGCTACTGCATAAATTAGTTTGCTCTGGAGCCATCCTTCCTGAGCTGAGACAAAAATATGTGAGCTGGAGGCTAAAAAACTGTGAGCCAGCTCACATTAACTCTGATTAGAGGGGACACTGGTCGTATTGCATTAATGCAAGGTAAGATTCCACTGGGAAAGGGCATCATTAAAGTTCTACTTGTATCCTGCCACTTCTCTATTCCAGTTGCCACAAGAACAGATCAGGCTCTTGCAGCAGCTGGTCAAAAATCCACTGCTTGAATATATTTTAATCACAATTTCCCTGACTTCAGACCAATTTCCCTGACTTTCCCGAAAGTGGCAACCCTGCTTGGGCAAGCCATAGTTCTGATAAGAGCTGTCCTTGAAAAAAGAGCCGTTTCTGCCAGAGCTCTCTCAGTACCACCTACATCTCAGGGTGTCTGTTGTGGGGAGAGGGAGGGAAAGGAGTTTGGATGCCGCTCTGAGACTCCTCTGGGTAGTGAAGAGCGGGGGTTATAAACCCAAGCTCCTCCTCCTCTTTAGTGTATACATGTGAAATCAGAACTGATCTGGCCCACTGTGCGTCATTTCATCTCCACTTCCATTAAAGTCATCTGCATTTTTGTTACCCATTTTTGGAACACTGTCCTGGGGCTCTTCCACCACTTGAGCTAGTCCCTGTTCACTCCCCTTCGGACCCATTTTGAGCAAGACGTCCACAGTCCCTCTACAGCCGCCGGAGTGACTCCACTACAATAATTGCCCATTTATGCCTCGCCTCAACTTGTTCTTATCAACTGATTTCCCCGTGCCGTGACCCAGTGATCTCAAGAGGCTTCCGAAAGAGCTTCGGTGGAAGTCCGCATCTGTTAAAACTTTCCTAGATCGGGGCCCCTGAGCTTTCTGAGCCCGTGGGGACATTCGGAATACGAACGCAGCATGCTGGGCGCAGCCACAAAATGGCTAGGGCAGGAGGCGGAGCCAGCCGCAAAAGGAGTGCCACAGCTTAACTTCAGTCACGCAGTGTAGATCCTTGTGCTGGTGGCGATGGCCATGACGACATTTTTTAAAAAATCTGTACCCCCAATCAGAATCCTTCCTGGGCAAAAAAGCCCACTTCCTAAAAACACTGGGCAGCAATGCTCCCTCTAAGCCGTGGAGTCCTGTGAGCAGAAGTTCTACTTTGTGAGTGAGTGATTTGGCTGCTGCATAAATCAATTTGCTCTGGAGCCATCCTTCCTGAGCAAAGGCAAAAAGGTGGGAGCCGGAGGCTAAAAAAACAGCTCACACTCACTCAGCTTAGAGGGAACACTGGTTGGCAGGCATCAAAAAACGTGGCAGGGGGCCCTATAGTGCCCATGGATGCCACGTTGGGGACCCCTGCCCTACATCACCTCTATTGGCATAGCTGTGGACACACTCAAGAGTTCTAAGAGGCCAAGGAGGAAAGACCTGTTTTTGCCAGTTTGGTGTACTGCTTAAGTGCAGTTAAGTGGTTTTAAGTACACAGTTTGGTGTAGTGGTTAAGTGTGCAGTTAAGTAGTTAAGTACACAGTTTGGTGTAGTGGTTAAGTGCGCGGACTGGGAGAACCGGGTTTGATTCCCCACTCCTCCACTTGCACCTGGCTGGGTGACCTTGGGCAAGCCATAGTTCTGTCAGAGGTGTCCTTGAAAAAGAGCAGTTTCTGTCAAGAGCTCTCTCAGCCCCACCTACCTGACAGGGTGTCTGTTGTGGGGAGGGGAAGGGAAAGGAGTTTGTAGGACGCTCTGAGACACCTTTGGGCAGTGAAGGGCGGGGTATAAATCCAATCTCCTCTTCTTCTTGCAGAAGCCATGCTGACTATCTGACATGGGGTTGGCTTGTGTGTATCTATCTATCTCAGCATGAATAATGCTTCCACCAATTTCCCTAAAACAGAGATCAGACCAACAGGTCATTACTCGCTTGTACCTCCCCCACCCCTAGTTGGTCCTGTAGTGGTTCCTTCTAATCTTCTACAATACCTGTGAGTTACAGACTTAACCAAAAGATGGACAGTTTCACCTTTGCCACCTAACTGTTCTACCACTGCGCTCCAGCTTATTTCCTAAGCTCTGACGTATTCAAATAAATCCTTAGGGAGTCGCTGTGTGCCCTTAACAATCGTGCTCCCATGCTCCTTTGTGTATGGCCACCCACAGGGTTTGCTTTCCCAGTCGGTTCGCTGATAGACTCCACTTTGGTTCATGTGGTATGAACTCTATGGCCGGTGCGGAAAGATGCCGACATGAGTGTTTCAGGCTTTTCATTGAATGCTGTAGAACTCAAAGCAGCTTAGAAGTTGTGCTAAAGGAAGTCGAAGGGGGAAGAGAGCCATGTTTTGGGTTTCTCACTGCTCCATAGTTATCTTCCTAAACAGCAGGAAAAGTTACAAGACAGACAGGAGTCACCCAGTACATACACCCCAGTTTCTACCCTCACATGAAACTGCCTTATACGGATAAGACCCCTGGGTCCACCACAGTCAGTACTATCTACACAAAACTACCAGTGGCTCTCCAAGGTCTCGGGCCAAGAAGAAGAGACTGGATTTATAACTCACCCTTCACTCAAAGCCTCAGAGCGGCTTAAAATCTCCTTCCCTTCCCCTCCCCACGGCAGACACCCTGTGAGGGAGGTGGGGCTGAGAGCTCTTTCGAGGACGGCTCTCGAGCAGGGTTCCCTCTAAGCTGAGTTAGTGTGAGCTAGCTCACAGTTTTTCAGCCTCCGGCTCACACATTTTTGTCTCAGGAAGGATGGTTCCAGATCAAACTAATTTATGCAGTAGCCAAATCACTCACTCACAACTTTAATGCCAGTAGCTCAGAAAGTAGAATTTTTGCTCACAAGACCCCACAAGCTTAGAGGGAACATTGCTCTCGAGAGAACAGCGCTGAGAGAACTTGTGACTGACTCAAGGTCACCCCAGCAGCTGCATGTGGAGGAGTAGAGGGTCAAACCCCTGGTCCTCCCAGATCAGAGTCCGCGCTCTTCACCACCACACCAGAGGTCCTTCACATCACCTACCTCCTTGCCCTTTTAACTGGAGAGGCCAGGGATGGAACCTAGGGCTTTCTGCGCACCGAGCAAAGGCTCCGCCACTGAGCCACGGCCCCTCCCCTTACACCTCTGACCCATCTGGCTGCTGAACGGTAATCCCCCCCGCCCGCCCCCCCCCAAATCAGAGCAGAGAGTTCTGTAACCTCCAAAGTTTAATAATAATAAAAAAATCATAATACAATAAAATAACACACCCTGCCCTACCCCCGACAGCCCACCCCTCCCCCTGCTGGAGAAAATAAAGGAAGAAACACTAAAAAGAGAGACAAAAAGACTTTAGTGTCAGAGCCT